CCTCACCTTCGACGCAGTGCTCCACCTCCTCCAGGTTGCGCAGCGTGATGCGCATCAGGCTGGAGTTGAGCATCAGCGCGTGCCGGTGCGCCGGCCAGAGCGCGCGCGGGGCGGGGTTGACGAAGAAGATGCGCGTGTCRCCCGTGGCCACCTGATTGTCACAGATCTGCGGGTCCCCGAAGCCACCGATCACCACCTTGTTGCCGCCGTCCTGCAGGATCTCGTGGCTCACGATGTCCTTGCCCTTCAGGTAGCGCCAGACGCGAACCTGCGGAGGGAGGGGATGAATCAGGGGGTTTGGCCGGTTCATGGGTTCGTGATTTCACTCTCTGGGCTCCCATTTTCCATTTCTGGGCTCCCATTTCTGTTCCTGGACTCCTGATTTCACTCTCTGGATTCCCATTTCTGTTCCTCGGCTCCTGATTTCACTCTCTGGGCTTCCGTTCCCATTTCTGGGCTCCTGTTTTGATTTCTGGGCTCCCATTTTCCCTCTCTGGGCTCCCATTTCCGTTCCTGGGCTCATGATTTCACTCTCTGGGCTCCCATTTTCCATTTCTGGGCTCCCATTTTCCTTCCTGGGCTCCTGATTTCACTCTCTGGGCTCCCATTTTCCTTCCTGGGTTCCTGTTCCCATTTCTGGGCTCCCATTCCCGTTCCTGGGCTCGTGATTTCACTCTCTGGGCTTCTGTTCTCATTTCTGGGCTCTCAATTTCCTCCCGGTGCTTCCATTTTCCCTTTTTGGGCTCCCATTCCCATTTCTGGGCTCCAATTCCCATTCCTGGGCTCCTGGTTTCACTCTCCGGGCTCCCATTCCCATTTATGGGCTCTCAATTTCCCTTTTTGGGCTCCCATTCCCCTCCCTGGGATCCCATTTTCCTTCCTGGGCTCCTGATTTCACTCTCTGGGCTTCTGTTTCCATTTTTGAGCTCTCAATTTCCCTTTTTGGGCTCCCATTCCCCTTCCTGGGCTCCTGTTTTCATTTCTGGGTTCCCATTCCTGTTCCTGGGCTCTCAATTTCCCTTTTTAGGCTCCCATTCCCCTCGCTCGGTACCTGTTTTCCTTCCTGGGCTCCCATTTTCCTTCCTGGGCTCCTGATTTCACTCTCTGGGCTCCCATTTTTCCATTTTGGGTTCCCATTTCCTTCCTGGGTTCCTGTTTTGCTTCCTGGGCTCCTATTCTCATTTCTGAGCTCTCATTTTCCCTTTCTGGGCTCCCATTTCCCTCTCTGGACTTCCGTTCCCCTCTCTGGGCTCCCATTCTCGTTCCTGGGCTCCTGTTTGCCCTCCCTGGGCTATCATTCCCCTTCCCGGGTTCCTGATTTAATTCTGGAGAATGAAAAATTCCCAGATTTTATCCCACTAAAGAAGGATCCATTCCCAGATTTTTTTTTGTATCCCTGGCTCCAGAATTCCAGCTCAGCGAACACAACCCTGTGTGATCTGTGATCAATCCTGGAGGTTTTCTGCAGCCCTGACACCAGAATTTCAGCTCAGTTAGCACAAACCCCATGATCTGTGATCAGTCCCGGAGTTTTCTGCACCCCTGGCTCCAGAATTCCAGCTCAGGAAATGCAAACCCTGTGATCTGTGATAAATCCTGGGG